GACAGGACCAGTTCCCTTGTATCAATCCGAGACAGCTCCCAAGTGGATTCGTGGTACCATCGTCGGAGCTTATCAGCTGGCCATTACCCTTGGTCTGCTGATTGCTGCTATTGTGAACAATGCCACCAAGGACCGTAATGATACCGGCTGCTACCGGATTCCAGTTGCCATCCAGTTTGCCTGGGCTATTATCCTGGTGACTGGTATGCTGGTTCTTCCAGAAACCCCGCGTTTCCTGATCAAGAAGGATAAGCACGAGGCCGCCGCTAGGGCTCTAGCCCGCCTTCGCCGCATGGATGTCAACGATCCAGCCCTCATTGAGGAATTGTCCGAGATCCAGGCCAACCATGAATACGAGCTCAGCATGGGTACTGCAAGCTACATCGAGATCCTTCGCGGCTCCATCGGCAAGCGTTTGGCTACCGGTTGCGGTATCCAGGCTCTGCAGCAGTTGGCCGGTGTCAACTTCATCTGTATGTCCTCATTTCTTTTAGTACTCGAACTCACTGCTAATGTGTCTAGTCTACTACGGAACTACCTTTTTCAAGGCCTCTGGCATCAGCAACCCCTTTATCATTACTCTCATCACCAACATTGTCAACGTGATGTCCACCTTCCCCGGTCTCTACATGGTTGAGAAGTGGGGTCGTCGTCCTCTGTTGATGTTTGGAGCTATTGGCATGTGCGTCAGCCAGCTTATCGTCGCCATCGTTGGCACTGCAACCTCGTCCGATGTGGCCAACAAAGTCCTGATCGCCTTCGTCTGCATCTACATTTTCTTCTTCGCCTGCTCCTGGGGACCTGTGGCTTGGGTTGTGACTGGTGAGCTGTACCCACTCAAGGCCCGTGCCAAGTGTCTCTCCATCACAACCGCCACCAACTGGCTGCTCAACTGGGCCATCGCCTACGCTACTCCTTACATGGTCAACAGCGGCCCGGGCAATGCCAACCTGCAGTCCAAGGTGTTCTTCATCTGGGGTGGCTTCTGCTTCATCGCGCTTGTCTTTGTGTACACCTGCATCTACGAGACCAAGGGTCTCTCTCTCGAGCAAGTCGATGAGCTTTACGGCAAGGTCTCCAAGGCCTGGAAGTCTAATGGTTTCGTCCCCACGGTCCACTTCACCGATGTCCGGGATGTGGCCGAGGGACACCGGAAGGCCAGTCTTTCTCAGCTTGAGGCCGATGCTCAGGAGAAGCACAAGCTTGAGCACCTGGAGAAGGCATAATCTGTTTTTCCTCTGATCTTTGGAAGCATGCATATTTGGTTTATTGGCAGTTATTATGGCGCATATGGAGATACCTGGATTTTGATGACTGATATGTTAGATGAATGATAGATCATTAGATCATTCTTGAATTTTTACATCGTATCCATGAACTCCTCAAATAGTTTCCTCGATGACACCTGAGGCGCACCATATCCCGTGGACGCCTCAGGCTGGGTCAGGCACTATGAGCGCATGGCTGGGAAAGCGTAATATGATTGGCTGCTTGGTTCAGCAACGGGCCCGCTCTCCAAGTTTCACATGGAAAAAGTCCTGAGCTTGTTCTGAAACCGGAATCAGCAAGGAGTCCGTGCGCAATCTCGTCGATATATTCCAGGAGGATGGCCAAATCCCGGGTCAACGTTCACAATGACCTCTTCTGTGGCCACTCGTTCACTTGCGTTTTCCCTTCTCCTATTTTTGACCTTGGGCAAAATGAGGCCTTTTTCAGTCTTTACTACATTCACTAGCCCCTGACACCATGTTGATGGCATCACGCATCGCAGAGCGGCGCGCCAGCCTCGAACCCACACAGGAGGATGAAGACGTTACAACACACAATCGGTCGTCGAGGATCCTCCTCCACAGTGACCCGAACCCCATCGACGTCCGACCTCCCACTCCCAAAGCAACAGGCAACCTCCTCCGCTCCAGTCCCGACATGGAACTAAGGAACCTGCGGACCAGTCGCGAGGACGAAAAGGTCGAGTCAGCAGTGACTACAGTGGTCGCGGACGGAGTCCTAGGGGACGCGCAGACGCAATCGCAGCCGCAGCAACGGTACCATCCCGACACCGCTCTATCAGAGCATCCGCTGTTCCCACCGCTTCCCTCGTACAGTCCGCCTTCGCTTGCGCTCACGGTGCGCTGTGTGGCGCTGCGGTGCGTCTCGTTCGTTCTGTCGCTGTTGTTTCTGGGGATTGTTGTGGTTGGTGCGCTTGTGGGTTTCGCCGGCACGCAGCTGGAGACTCTGCGGATGAGGATTAGCGGCGAGGATCCTAACGCGCGGCGGAAATTCTATGCCGAGGAGCGCGAGCGACAGTTGAGTCGAGAGGAGGAGCTTAGGAGGTGGAAGCGGCGGCAGGCGAAGAGGGATGTTGACGAGGAGGCGCCGGATGAGTGTCCGCCGTTGGAGGGCGGGCGGGACTTGCTTGTTTGTGATGTTGGGTATTACGCGCGGCGGGTGGGACTCGACGTGGAGACGTTCAAAGTCCAGACGGAGGATGGATTTATTATTACGTTGTGGCATGTTTTTAACCCGCAGGAGTATACGCCGTTGTCGGAAGAGGAGAGAGGGCCCCGCGGCCCCGACGTGTTTACTGGGCGGAGAAGGTCGAATGCTTCCAGTCGAAACCGGAGGTATCCTGTTTTGCTGGTCCATGGGCTGTTGCAGAGTGCTGGTGCGTTCTGCGTGAATGACGATGACAGTCTGGCTTTCTATCTTTGCAAAGCCGGGTACGATGTCTGGTTAGGCAACAATCGCTGCGGGATGACGCCCGAGCATACAACGCTGTCGATTGGTGATCCGCGGATGTGGACGTGGAACATCCGGCAGATGGGCGTGCTGGACTTGACCGCGCTTGTTTCGCGGGTCCTGTTTGAGACCGGGTTTGAGAAGCTGGGGCTTGTGTGCCACTCGCAAGGTACCGCGCAGACATTCGTGGCGCTGTCCAAACACCACCGCCCGGAACTTGGCGAGAAGATATCTATATTTTGTGCCCTCGCACCGGCAGTATATGCCGGACCTTTGATCGAGAGGTTGTACTTTCGGTTCATGCGAGTTATCCCGCCTGACATATTCCGGACTATTTTCGGCATCCACGCATTCATCCCCATCATGATGACCGTCCACCGCTTTCTCCATCCCCGCATCTACGGAGCGCTGGGGTATCATGTCTTCGCGCACCTGTTCGGCTGGAGCGACGTCCGCTGGGATCGCGGACTGCGCGATCGCATGTTCCAATTCGCGCCGGTGTATATCAGCAGCGAGACGATCCGGTGGTGGTTGGGTCAGGGCTGCTTCGCGACGCAGCGGTGTATCCTGGCCACGATGGAAGACACCCTTGCGGAGATGGAGGAGGATCTCCGTCTTCAACGAGACGGAGACCAACCGGGCTCGCGCACTGACACCGCCTGGTACGGGCCGCAGACACCCCCGTTTGCGCTGTGGGTTGCGGGGTCAGATGCACTGGTCGACGGACGGCGTCTCCTTCAGCGGTTCCGGAGCGGACGTGAGCCGCATGTTCAGGTGGTGCATTCCAAGGTGATTGAAGAGTATGAGCATCTGGATGTGCTGTGGGCCATGGATGCGGTGGAGCAGGTTGGTAAGGAGGTCCGCGATGTTATGTACATGACCATGCCGGAGGAGGCGCGGACGTGCTGTCGGGTTCCAAAGGGTGTTTCATGACACGGGCCTTCCATTAATGACTGACGGTGATGAGATATGATTGTTCTGGCCTGCTTTGATGTTCAATAGACATTGCATATATACAGCATATCTAATTCATAGACTATAGCTATACCCAGTCACGTCATTCCATCAATACTGAGCACCACACAGAATGCAATTAACACCGCTGCCTAGTGCGTGACCACATACCAGACTAACCTAGCCTTGCTACAAGGATTAAAGCATACGTACACCCAATATATCCAGGATCCGGTATCAAGGTATTTCCCTCAGCAGGTACACTATAGAGTAGGATAATACCCTCGTGCGGGGTAGGACACCATACCCATCGCCACACCAGTTCAATTTGAATGGACATCTAGCCAACGGTCGTCTCATCCTCTGCCGTAGCGTAGCTACCCTGATGCTTGCGCCATCACCTAGCGGCAACTGGAAACTGGAAACTGGAAATAATGTAGCCTACGAAGCGAAACCAAAGTGGAGATCCTGCAGGGGTGTATCTATTCCTAGTAGCGGGTGTGACTCGTCGTGCGGGGATATGCATCCTTGCTACAGTATACAGGGCAGCCAGTGCTATAGTATGGTACTATAGTACAATAGTACAGCATGTGGTGACGTGCTGGTAAGTACAGGCTGTGCTGCAGTGCAGGTGAAGTGCAGGTGGGAAGCGGGTTTTGCATATACCGGGTTTTATGGTTATGGTTACCTACATTTGGAGATCAGGTTCGGGGGAGGTTTCCATACTGAGTTAGGGTTGGGATAAGGTGGGATGCGTCGGCTTGGCTTGTAGCTTGGCTGGCTTGGTTCGCTTGTTTGAGTTTGTATGAACCGTGTAATATGAGATGGGATGGGATAGTATTTGGTACTTGTTTTAGGTGTTTGGTTTATAGTATCGTTTGTGATATGTGTGTTGGTGTTGAGTATGTGTACATGTGTATACTGCTGGGATCAACCTGGATAAGGTACTGACTGGTACTGCAGGTATCGACTGATGTTTCTGTCATACCTCAGAATGAGCAATAGACCCACTGATGTCTGCTGTCACATTCTTGGTTCTAGAGGCTATCTAACCCCTCAAGCGGCCCATTGGCCTGCAATGTTCACCCTCCCCCCACCAGCCTGGTCCTCGGCCTGTCTGCTATCCCGAAGATCTTCTCTCATGAGGGGTAGCCGTGCCAGTCGAGAATGCCTGGACCGGACTGAACTGGACAGGGAGCATCCGTCTGTCAAATTCGACCCTCTTCTTCTCCTCAGTGAACTGTGGTATATAAGGGAGTCAGCTCTCGCAACGGGTTCGACTTCGAACCAGATGAAGCAGAGTCACAATGAAGTCTATCCACATTCTGCAAACTTTCCTTCTTGTTCTCCCCTGTGCCAATGGAGCCCCTACGGCCCAGCCTTCGAATCCTCCATTGAGAGGCTCGGAGGATCTGCTCGGTTATTCCTCCTCCAATACCATCACGGAGCAGTCGACCGAGGTCAAGTATACCCTAGTGACTGGGCAAAAGGAGGATGCCAATAGCGGGGTGTACCTTGACTTTGAGGGCGTGAACAATCCCCAGCCTATCCGGGGAGATCTGGGAGGGTCGGACCCAGGACCGAGTATGTTGTCGTTTGTGCTGCATGGAAGGACGCAAAATCGGCTGACAGCGCAGGAAATACGTACTATGATCAGATAAATAGCGATAAGCTGGCTCCTCCTGGGACGGATCATGGTCAGACGATCAACGCGCAGTGGCCGATGGGTATGTCTTACCTACATGACGGTAGACCATGCTAACTTGACACAGGACTCAGTCGTAATAGGTAGGTTTGCCCTCTCGGCTTGACGGACGTTGCTTATGAGTAGACTCGGCCAAGACGGGGCTGGATGGGCCCGACAGGAGAATACGAACGTCATGCCGGACGCAACAGCCATGGCCGGTGTTGACATGAGACTTGAGCCCGGTGCGTATCGGGAACTGCATTGGCATGTCGCGGCGGAGTGGTCGTTTGTCCTCAATGGATCCTGTCGGATTCAGGTATGTTTTCCCTCCTTTTCATTGATGTTGCTGACCGTCAGGCCGTCAATGAGAATGGGGAAACATTCATCGACGATGTGAGCGAAGGTGATGTCTGGTTCTTCCCTCCGTAGGTCGCCAAGTCACACCGTTATGGACGGATGCTGACCGGCTAGGGGCGTTCCTCACTCCATTCAAGCCCTCGACACAGGGGTCGAGTTCCTTCTAGTCTTCGACGATGGATCCTTCTCCGAGGATAATACCTTCCTCGCCTCGGAAGTCTTTGCACACAATCCCAAAGAAGTCCTAGCCAAAGACCTGGGTGTCCCCATCACCGCATTCGAAAACCTCCCCGAGGACGAACTGTACATCTTCCCCGGCACCCCAGCCCCCAAGGACGTCGAGGCCCAAAACGTCTCGACGGCAGCGGGAATCGTCCCCAGAATGCAGAGCTACTCGTACCACTTCTCAGAGCAGCCCGCCCACGAAGTCGCCGGTGGATCAGTCAAGATCGTGGATCCCGTCACCTTCCCCATCGCCAGTAACTTCTCTGCGGCTGTTGTGACCGTTAAGCCGGGCGGGATGCGCGAGATCCACTGGCATCCGAGCAGCGATGAGTGGACTTTTTTCATCCGCGGCCAGGGCCGCGCGACGCTGTTCTCGGCACCCAGTACGGCCACGACGTTTGACTACCGTGCCGGAGATGTGGGATACTTTCCCCAGTCGAACAGTCACTATATCGAGAATACGGGGGACGAGGACCTGCTCTTCCTCGAGGTGTTGCAGGCAGACAAGTTCACTGGTGCGTAGCCCCCTTTTCACTCTGTCTTTCGTCACACTAACGGAATCAGACATCGCATTAGGGCAATGGATTGCATCTACGCCGCGACAGATCGTGGCAGATACGCTGAAGCTGAGCAATGAGACCTTGAGCAAGTTGAAGACGGACAAGCAGTATGTTGTTGCTGGATAACGTACATAACAATCACATATCATCAAGCATGACCATAGTCAACAAATCAAGGCGCATAGGGCGGCGGCAGCTCCGCCTCCTCATCAGTTGCAGTGGACTCATCCTCCTCCTCCTCCGACTCGCTCTCCTCCTGTAGAACCTTGTAATCAAGCCTCTCAACCTTTGCATCGGCAGCAGCAGCAACAGCCTTGCTCTTCTTACCCTTCTTCAGCATATCAGCATAAGCATATACTCAACCCCAGACCAAAGATAAAGGGGACTTACATCCATCTCCTCAAAAACAACCTCCCCCTCCCCAACCCTCCCCACCAACCTCCCATTCTTCCAAACCCCAAACCTTAACCTCATCCCCGTAAACTCCGTCCCGATAACCACACACTCACTCACCTCGCAGTCCGTCAGCACCGCCCTCTTCACCCTGCTCTTGAACATGTCCACGCGGTCCAGCTTACTCCGCCGGAGGAGAGACTGCTTCACGCTGGAGTCCACAACCGTGCTCCGCCGGACGGCGCTATCGCTTACCGTGCTGGCGCGGATCTCGCTCCGTCGCAGGCGGCGAATATTCGAGAGCGAGGAGTTAGTTGCGTCGAGTGAGCGGGCTGCGGGGACGTTGAGGAGGGTTGTGTTGGTGAGGGTGCAGCGGCGGGTGGAGGAGTTGGTTAGTGTGCAGGACTGGAGTTTGCTGCGTTTGATGCTGATGCTGGCGCTGCTTGTAGCTTCGGGTGTGGGACTCCTGGCGATGGAGGTGTTTTCCACTGTGGAGCGGAATATGCAGTCTGCGGGGGTGAGATTGGTGAATGTTGTTTTGGTGGTGGTGGAGCGGGTGATGGTGGGGGAGGAGGGGTTTGTTTCAGTAAGTGGTTTTGTCATTTTGTGTTGCCTATTGTCTCTCTTCTGGTGTTGCTATGTTGGATGGGGATGATCGATAGAAGATAGATGATGGTGAAGATATGTGTTCTGGAATATGGCTGCCTGGTTGCTGACTGCCTGGTCCCAGAAAGAAATATATGTTGCGACTGGCTATTCATTGTTTGTTACGAGTGGCTGTGGTTCTAGTACTGTTAGTGCACCGCCATTGCTATTAGCCAGTGAGGATATCCCTGCCTTTGGATATATCATCAAGTCTAGTTTAGCTAAGATAAGGTTCTTTTGGTATACTCTGTATTGGCGTAGAAGAATATCTTGCTTAACAGCTCCAACTGATATTGAGAAAATATTGGATATTGTATTATATTCAAATATCTGCCAAACAGACATTCCAAGGCAAGATGGCCGAGTTGGTCCAAGGCGTGAGGTTAAGGTACACCTTAATACCAAACTCCTAGAGTTTCCTCATCATCGTATGATGGCGTGGGTTCGAATCCCACTCTTGTCAGTACCTTTTTTGCTCTCTAGTTACCTTTTTGGTTCTTTGTCAGCACTATCCCAACTCCATACCCCGCAATCTCCACATCAGATATTATGACGGACGCCTATCGTGAAGATTCTTGATATTTCTCCACCACTCTGGTGGATGCTCCATGCCAAGATGGCTAGCTAATTTTCCGTTTGAACATTTTCTCCGTCTGCGTAGGGGTCTTTGCTCTCGTGTCTCCGGCCCGAGGCAATATAAACAATCCTCAGGATGTCTTGGAAATTCTTGGGATCTGGTATAAGAGCGAGAGGATGGTGATCCTTCTTCCTGCAGGATTATATATGGCAGAGTAAGATAGTATCATACGGATATGATTTCAATCAGCAAGTCCGCGCTGCTCGTAGCGGCCCTGAGCGGCCTCTCCCAGGCGGCGAACTATACCGAATGGATGGCCTCGTCCTTCATGACCAAGAATATCTCCCTGTCCCGCAACTACGCCAATGGCGTCCTCTACACCGGCATGGAGTTCGCATACAACAAGACCAAGGATGAACGCTATTTCACCTACATCAAGTCGCAGGTCGATGCTGTTGTCGACCCATCCGGCGGACTGATCGACTACCCCGGGTCAACCGTCTCGCTCGACGACATCCGCATTGGCCTCAATCTCCTTTGGCTTTGGACCAAGACGGGGGATGACAGGTACAAGATTGCGGCTGATACCCTCCGTGAGCAGCTTAACTTCACCCCACGCAACAAGGCCGGCGGGTTCTGGCACCGCAAGCCCACGTATCCGAATCAGATGTGGCTGGACGGGATTTACATGGCGGAGAACTTCTATGCGCAGTACACCGCGTGGTTCCAGCCGAACAATGCTACCGCATGGGACGACATTATGCTGCAGTTTGACCTGATCGAGGAGCACTGCCGGTTGAAGACCGGATTGCTGGTGCACGGATATGACGAGAGTAAAGTGGCAGTCTGGGCTGGTATGTCTCAACAGAACTCCCTAACCTTTGCGGATGATCCTAACGCCGCTAGACCCTGTTACCGGCGGCGCACCCCATGTCTGGGACCGCGCGGTGGGCTGGTACTTCATGTCGTTGGTCGACATCCTCGACTACCTGCCCCGATCTCATTCCGGCTATGAGAAGAACCTGCGTCGTTTCCAGTCCCTGGCAAAAGCCCTCAAGAAGACGCAGGACAAGTCCGGTGGATGGTGGCTCATCATGGATGGGGAGTACCCGCGTGATCCCCGCAACTACATCGAGAGCAGCGGCACCGCCATGTTTGCTTATGGATTCCTCAAGGGCGTTCGCAAGGGATATATCCGCTCCAAGGACTATTTGGCTCCCGCGAAGAAGGCGTACAACCTCATGGTGGACAAGTTCGTGGAGAAGAATGCGAACGGCACGCTGAATTGGCTCGGCACAGTGCAGGTCGGCAGTCTGGTCAGCAATGGCACCTTCGAGGTGAGTATGAACCTATACCTGATCTGAGGAAACGATCTGATTGTTGTTAGTATTATATCTCGGTTCCCGTGGTGCAGGATGATTATAAGGGCGCTGGACCTTTCATGTATGCCAGTTATGAGATTGAGGCTGCTTCCAAACAATAGACAGAAGGGATGACAGACCGTGCAAGACAAGGAAGCGGTCCAAAACTTGGCGGGTTTCCTCGGACTCCGGAGCATTTAAATAGCCCACAATGGCTGAGTCAAAATTGAGTGACTGTGAGACATTTTCCTAGGATTGCGGACCATTTTCGGACAAGCGGGATTCCCGTGGCAGTGGCTGTGAGCCTGGTGGACGATGGTCAAAGTCGCGTAGGCTATTTTTGCCGAGAGGACATTGCACAAAATATATTGCTGTCTGTGCCAAGGAGCCTCGAATGTGAGTCCATCACGGACTAATATACCGTAGCGTAAGATTAATCTTTGGAAAATGAACTCACCTGACCGGGGAAAATACCTTACCGATGGTGGCTTCTGAGTTGATGCCAGAAAGAACTGAGGGGTAGATAGAACTGGAGAGAAGTTTGTATAGACCATGTATCCTTCAATTGAAGAGGAGGTGTCGGAGAAAATGGAATCAATCATCGTTCCTGATCGAGCTCAACTGGATAGGGTGATAAAAGATGGATGATGTTTTGTTCGTCTTCCACCTAAGCCCCCAACCGACCAAAGGGAAGCCTTGTCTCAGCTTGGCGAAGTGTTTATGTTCACCTTAGATCGCAGCCTAGTCCTGTGGATCTGTCAATCGACCCTGCGTCTCTTTCCTTGGTATGAACATGGAATAGCTTTAGTAGGAATGACTAGGTTATAATTAAGAAAGCGCTCATCCAACCGACTACTTTCAGTCCACTCGTTCACTCTTTGATTACCAACTCTATCACTACTGTGAATCTACTTATCCATCCAAAACATCATCGATCAACATTCATTTGATAAGAGAGCAAGTTCTCAATACCATGTCACCCCTATCAAAGCTACGGCCCCGAGCCAGGCCAACGACTGACTACGAACGATGGCTCGATTTCAACGCCGATGAAGATCCATCCGCTCCTCCAAAATACGGGCCCGATAGAACACACCGCTATCTCGATGATTCGTCCGTCAGATTTGCTCCAAATCGCCAGCTCATGTTGTAGGCACCATCCTCCACTGCTATTGTTTGTGTCCGTCTAACAACCGCAGCAATGGCCAGCGCTATATGCCACCCGGACATACCCGTCATCATCGAAGAATTGCACATCCGCAAGCACTAGTTCGAGGCATCACGTTTTTCTGCGCCGTGTTGGTAGTCCTACTGTTCCTGCGGATGTTTGTGCTCTCGCTCATTCGCGCATCCCGACGACGAAGAGACATCGAGAGACAAATACAAGAGGCATCCCAGCGACAGCACGACCCGACAGTCTACGAGGATAACAACGAATTAAATGAACTGTGATTATTTTCTACCCCCTCTTTTGCAATTCTCAATCATATGCACGAGTACATCACAGCCGATGCAGCGATGGCCACACGATGGCGTCCTCTCCAACCTCAGGGCAGATACCGAAGCATCGCATTACCTGACAGAAACTCGGCTCCCGAATTGCCGGGATATACTCAGCCCGTGTTTCAGAATTTGCGTGGCGTCGCGTCAGACTTGGCCAAAGTAAAATCACCAGGCAGCTGGATTCTTCTCAGCATGCATGTCAACGGCGAGGACTGGATTACATCACAGCCGAGCACCGTGAAACAATTGGATGCAGTGCATTATCCTCCGGAAGGCTTGTTCCTAACCTTATTGAGGTCAAGCTCAGAATGAGCGATTCTTCGTGATTGGTAGTTAGTGGAGTTGAGACGATAGAATATAGTTGCCTAACGGCCTTGCTCCGACATGCATCGCACGCGCGGCACGACCGCGTCGATCAAATCTGGAGCTAAGATACAAGGCAACACAGCTCTGTATACTTTTTCCCGATGACCTGGTAGAGACTCGATGCAGTCTCTTGCTCTTACGAACCTAGAAATCAGATAACGCTGAATCAATAGCAAAGCTCTTTACACATATCAGCGAGTAGCTATCGAGTGGTCATATTGCGACTGATATTTTCACCTTTAGGAAGTCAGAACTCACAAAATAGAGTCCTATGAATGACATGCATGCCAGGCAAGTTTATTGTCGAACACTCCTTTACCATTCTGGGTATCTCAACTCAGGAGTCAGAACTCAGTTTTGCATCCCCACAGGGTCCAAATTCAACTTTACAAGCTCAGCCTGAACAAATAAAATTAGCGAAGCAGATATGTCTCATTCCATCCACCTGTACGTGCTTGCAAGTGGACTCTTGTCTCACCTAAATTTACATGTGAATGATGTGGTATGGTGGACCCTGAGTCCCTGCGCTAGACTGCTCTTAGCGAGGCCTACAACGGGGATCACCGATACAGACCAGTACCGACTACCGAGGACAGGCACTAAATATTAATAGACTAAAGGTCTAAGCCACACCATATGGCAATGCATTAGCAAATAGTTAATGTAACAATGTCAGGGAAGCTCTGAGACTAGTTTATGTATGTAGCGAATGGCTCAATGAAAATTTTCACTTTAGTGCTAAGCTTGTTGTGATACAATGACCAAGGCCTTGTTATTACTGTAGGTTGCTGGTGAGAAGCTGAAGGTGGCCAGTTGAGGCACTTGGAATGGGATAATCTGAGGTGTTTTAATGATACAGGATGGTGAACTGCATTAAGATAGGGGCATCTGGGACTTGTTTCTTTTATTTGTGAGGACTTATGATAGACAAGATGATGGATATTTAATTCTTATAGCTTTCATTATATCTACAGCTGACCTCGAAATTGCATACTGACTCGTTTCCAGACCCTAGTTAGGTCAAGTACTTAACTAAACAAGGTAGTGTGTATATTATCTGTAGGAAACCATATTGTACTGAACAGGTAAATTCAAAACTACCTACTAGGACTACTAGAAGATGAAGCAAACATCTTAAGTGAGATTTCACAATCTGTGAAATAATCACTGTAAATGTTTCTTTTGACATACCGCAGTCCAATACTAGCAGTCTGTTGGACTATCCAGAGGCAAGCAGGATAGATGAGGTTTCATGGTTCTTCTCCTAGTCCTACAAACGAGATCTCCCCTTGCTTGCCATCATGCTTAGCATCATATGCTTAAATAATCGTCAGGCACAGGCTAACATATCGCAGCATTAAATACTAGTTTTCTCCAGACCAGCTACCTCATCCTGCAGATGATGAGGAATAGCCTCTTTAGCATAACAATATTAATGCCTCTCAGCTTTAGCCATCTGTTCTATGGGATGAAAGCTCTAATTGTAACTAGCAACTTTGGGGGTATTCCATCCACCCAATATTCTCGTCTTCTCCGCGGGGACCTGGGAGGAGCTGGAGGATATTTTTGGCCAGTCGGACCTGTCCCCTAAGCCCTGACTACCACAGACAATCCACGAGAACTTCTTCAAAGCCTGCCACGAATCTCCGGAATCCTCTGCTTAATAGGAAACCCAGTGACATCCGTCTATGCCGCTTCCGAGGCCGGAAGCAGCGGGGCGATTTCCAAAGGAGAGTTATGAGCGGCGCCAAGTCCATCGGCAACATGCTCGTACCCCAGTACCACGTCAAGAATTCGACGATCAGGATAGTTCCCAAGTCGCAACAGACCTTGGGATACTGTCCTCGGCTGTCTTCTCAGGTGTGGGCCAGAGTGCGTTTCAAAGCCGTCAGGTTCGGCCCCCTCAGTGTGGGCAATCCTGACGGTGTCGGTGCCCTTGTTGGTGTGGTTCTTATTCTGCCTCGTCTAGTCGTGACTGGGTGGCATTTTTACGACTTACCAAGGATGCCGCGGGTAGCACCCTCACTGCTGCCATCCTGGGTGAGGTGCCAATCTAAATTCATACGCTTCGCGTATCTCCTATGCTGTTGCTGTCAACGATGAGGATCCGGACACTCGTCTGGTTGCCGTTACAGCGAAAGCCGCATGCGATGATATCTTTGCTGGCTTGCAGATCGCAGAGACTTTTACTGCTTATGCTTGACAACTCTAATGGACTGGAATGTCCAGCTTACACATTAGACCAGCAGGAACACATGGATTGAGCGTGGTTTAAAACAGCCTGGCCCCTCTTGTAAGTCTGCTTGGATTGTAGTATTCGATAAGTCTATCGAAATGGCTATTGCTGTGCGGCTTTGATGCGACAGGAGGATAAACGGTTGTGGAAAGTACAACCGACTTCGAGAGACAACTGTTGTCGGTTATGTCCCGGCGGCATCTCAGAATTGCTTATCAATAGTAAAGCGTGTGCTCAAGCGTTGCTCAGATGACTATGTCCTTCCAGTCTTGGTTAGTCGATCAGGCATTCGATGGCCTCGGTATAAAACATTCGAGTCTCGCTGCCATCCTTAGAGGAAGTAGATCCACAAGAATGGTGTAGGTTGTTGCTGTCATAGTGACCGGGCTCTGGACCTCTGGTACTCTTAAACTCGGCTCGGTCTTTCCGACAATGCGAGGCCAGGCTCACTACTTGGGGCGGTGTCCTCGCCAATTGTAAAGGAGCCCAGGAAGGTTGATACTTGTCAGTAATTTTTGGAATTAGCTGGCCTGACAGCCATCCAGACGTGTTCGAATACACCATGGGCGTAATCTGGCTCCGGTACAAATAGTAATAGCCATGTCATGACGCTGTCCGTGCCAGTCTTTGCCAGTCCTGGCCAGTTCCGAGGGCCATTGATGCACAAATCGACCTGTGTATTGTTGGGATCCACTCGTGCTCGCTTGATAAGGACCAGGAGTGGCTCTGTGCTGACTGGACCGACAGTCTCTTCATCCAAGACTGTGATCGACCATCCGATGGCGAGAAGAACTCTAAGATAAGTGACTTTGTATATCATTCCTCGTCGTCGCTCTCTTTGTCGCTGCTCTGTTCCCTGGGTATGAACTTCTCCTCCCGCAGCTCCAAGCAAGCAAGACCAGACACCCTTTCGACTTAGACTCAACCCCACAATCTCGCAAAGGATACTGCAAGGTTCGAAAAGCAGAAAGTAACTTGGATCGACCGTCAGAGGCACGACTGACGTCCGAGGCAGCCCTGTTCAGTGTCTCGATAGGCAGATTTGGTGTGAGTCCAGTGCGAGAGCCGACCGGATGATCCTGTTCAGCTTCTGGTCCGCCGTCTGCAAAATAGGAGCAGGTAAATGGCATAGTCGCGGCCCGGATTGTTCGCCAATGCTCAATGACCACCACATCGGCTTCCTGTATCGCCTGTTCAACCAACGGCATGAACTCCTCTATATAAACCAGCGGGCCAAACTGTGGAGGCATATGGCCCTCCCAGCAAATCCAGTGCCGGCGTAGGCCTCCTAAAAAGCTCTCAAAGACTAGGTCGTAGAGCATATTCATCCGCAGCCCTATCAGATTCATCTGAGCCTGATCATTAACCCAGTGAGTCGTAGGAGCGGCGTCGCATGGGAGATAATAGTGCTTGAAGATCCAATCCCCGCGAGGATGAGTAGCTTGCACATAGGCAAGAGACGCAGGGGGCTGCTGCACCAACATCCAGCGCCAACTTGCTTCGCGGCGGAAAAGTTTCTGGCGCCTCTCACTCACCTCCGGCCCAGACGGCAACAGGTAGGTGCATTCTCTCACACCGGATGGATCCCAAGCAGGGGGGAAGGAATCTATTGAAATATAATACTACTAGGCTAAAAAAGTGTCCGGACATGATTCCTATCAGTCTAGGGTCTCTTAATCCCAAAAATCTTCTGCTAGGAGTGGATTACGCAGCTTTTTGTGGCACTTCTCTGGTGGGGTCGGCTTAAAGAACAGGGCCTGCTGTAGCCTTGGGGAAAATTGAATCAACCTGGTCCAGGAGCGACAAACTCGCTGGGCTGAGGTCAGCAGGGATTGGATATCAAGATGAAGGAGAATATATTCGAGCAGCTCTGGCGTGGACAGGACGAGCCCTTGACTCTCAGCCATGGTGTGAAGCACTTCTGGCAAGCCTGGCATTAACAATGTGGCTACTCGGCATGGATTGTTTAGGTTGAATTATATTATATATGTTTGCAAGCACCTCAACTAGTCCTTATGCAGCTAGATCATCCACCTGACCTTCAGGGGTACAAATGTTCAAGAAATGTTGAGGAAAACCATCATACTGGTACCTAGCCATCCCGAGTGACTGTGTCAGTGCCCATCATGGAGGTTCTACTGATGCCGTCATATGAAGCTTATCACCGTACGTTGATATTGGGAGACTAACTCTGATGGATACATGCTGGAAATACAACAGATTTGTGACACCACAGATTGCGATACCAAAACAGTCAGAGTCAATTAGCCTTAACGATGTTGCTGCTCTGAGGTAGCGAACTTTCAATGACTTCTGCAGACATCATGTCCCTGATGGGTCGTTGACCACTCACAGCTGTGGACAGAGACAAATACCTCGGGCAACGAGTGCCTTCGTTGAAGCCGGTGGCTCGCACACGCTCCGATGCCGTCGATATTTCACTCTGGGATTCTTGAAATCATTATCGCCTCTCGGTTGGATACTTTGATGAGGATTCAAATACTGCTTCGCAGCCAGATGAGACATCCAAACTATACTATGACAAACACATTTAGGAGAGTACAGAGGATCATCGAGGAAGTTTTGGAACACTCGGGGTAGGTCTTCATGAAGGCGGACAGGTCCAGTCTCTACTATTCTTTGACGACGACGACGAGTGTGAGCAGTTCGTTGATAGCCAAGTGACAGGCACCCTGAGATATAGCAAATTGTTCAGGATAGTGATAAAATGTAAGGCTGAAAAAAAAACACTTGATTCATCTCTCTTTACTCACTGGGAGCGAGGAATTCTGTGTCCGGCCGTCAATGCGCCACTGGTGCATGTATGACATGTCATACACCAATTGGACTCAGCTGCCTGTACTGTTACCAGTAACAAGTAACTAGGATCACAAATGAAGGCTTATGCGCATCGAATAGCTGAACAGAATGCAGATGCAAGGCACACGGATCTGCTGATGCATGCGGTGTGCTCTAACTGACTTCTGACTGACCTTATTTTGACATGCACATGACGGAACAACATATGAATAACCAAAAAGAAAAGAAGATAAAAAGAAAATTTTTGATCTGAAAGAAATGCACTGAAAGGTTTGTAAATTTTTGAGCCTGCAAATGCTCATCCAGAACTCCGACCAAGTGTATGACAACCCAAGTCCAAGTCCTGACAGTCGACACCCAAGCAGAGATATCCAATTCATATCTAATGTATGCAACAGTCATATACAAGTGCTCAGTTATAACCACAGTTCCACAGTTCCCAAGAAGTCTATATATGCCATTCACTAATATGACAGCAGCGAAGGGCTAGAATGTCACGTATCTGCGGATAGGGGAGCGGCGGTCTCTCCGGAGAAAACAATTGACTTTTGATCTCGCGATCAGATTGGGGATCTTTCACTAGCCCTGGCGAGATAGGTTCCATTACTCGCTGCTTGTTCAAGGAGGTTAAGTAATTGTTGGTGGAGTTGCTGAGAGTCGATTCGGTCCTTAGGCTCGATGCGAATCATTTTCCGCATGATCAAACACAAGAGACCATAAAGCATATCAGAACATCGTTCATCTTCTGATAAGCGGGTTACCCACGCCTTCACTGATGGCCGTACGTCTCTGAGATCAGTCGTGTAAAAGTAATCTTCGCTGAATTCATCCGTCTCACCACCTTCGGCACCGCGAAGCTCGGCAAACTCCACGATAGCATCGAATCCAAGTACTATCCAGGTAATGAACTCCAAATATAGGCAGCCAAGACTCCAAATGTCCCACTTCCGGGATATGCGCAGGTTGCGATAATTGTCTGGAGGCCTATAAGTTTTAGTACCAAGCATGCCGGCCGGGTCACCATTGGATACCGATCCGATGCTATGAAGACTAGCCAGGCCTAGGTCCGTGATTTGCAATATTCCGTCCGAGTCAGTGCATCCAGGGTAAGACGGGAACCACACGATGTTCTCTGCTTTCAAATCACCATGACGTCCGAAATAACGACCAGGCTGACGTTCGTCCAGCAGCTGAAACCCGTGGATCAAAGAGAGCGCGCTTGCGAGGCCTGTCATTTGCTTCAACGACCACAAGACTCTCTGATAATCAATCTGTTCGAGTGGGATTCTATTCCAATAATTTCGGAGGTTCACGTCTGCCCATGGAAATACCAGGTGAAACTTGGACCCCTCCTTATAGGTAAATAGAAGACTGATCAGATGAGGATGGGGCCCGGACGCTTTCCTAAGAGTCATATGCATATCGCGCTCAATTTGAAAACGTGAAGGGTCGAAAGAAAAGAGTTTCTTGACTGCAACCACGGCTTGTCGATCCTAGCCATCAAGCCATGGTGTTAAGCGGTCTTTCTCACAGGCATCGCTAAAGTAGAGATGTCCACTTACCCGGCAAACAGGAAAATCCCAAAAGGTGTGATGAGCAGGATGTATAAAGGCCTGAAAGACCTCACTGAAGCCGCTTTCAATCTCAATTCGTCCCGAATTCGTGAAAGGTAAGATTTGAGCAACCGGAAAATCGTAATGTTTGCCCTGCTCAAACACCGGGGCCAACATACGCCATTGCTTTTTCGCCAGGCTCTTGATTTCAGGATCAGTCCATTCACTTAGAACCTTGATATCGCGGCCTCCATTTGTCTGTAGTGTCATTCGCTCGCTTCCAGTTCTTGCAGGCTTCATGACGAAAGGCAAATCGGTGTCACTTATCCCCTCATCCAGAAACCTCAAGATATCAGCACCTCTTTTCCTGCTGACGAGGATTGCGAATAGTTTCATAGAGGTCTGAACAATCCTCCTGGCTTCTGTCTCTGCATTGCGATCTTGCACCAACCCCTCCTCACGAAGTATGTCCTCCACTTTGGATTCGGTGATCAGTTCTCTGAGACTGGACAGCGGGACATACATTACGTGCCCTGAACTGTCAGACTCGATGCTCGCACTGGATAAGGACTCTTGAAGCTCGTGAAGAGGACTAAAAGGGCTAGAGGTCACATCCAGCAAGGAAGATCGCCCGGAGACGGAGCGATCAGATTGTAGTCCGGATGAGGACTGACGGTCCAGAGGAGCGCGGGAGTAATGCGGACTGAGTCCATCTACTCTGACCTGACTGTCAACGACCGATACGTTCGCAGGTGGGAAGGATGGATGATCATCGGAATAAGGATTCGTTCCAGACCGGGAAGAATGTTTGTCGCGATGAAGGTGTCGAAACAAAGGTATGAACGGTTGAAAAAGACAGCACAGAAAAGCCATTGTTGAAATGTATAACAACGTGCACAAACTCAAAGTATCAGGATTTGTTTGACGATTGTTCGTAGCCTTGCCTGGCGTAGAGTATCAGAGGAAACATGAGCAAAGGTCAGTACAACACCGGCTGAGAGAGAAAACCCCCCTCAAAGCAGGTCAAAAGGCTGTAATATAAATTGACAAGACTGGAAGAGCAATTTCGTACAAGGCAATGGCGGGACTGCGATCGAAGGTTGAAAACAGAAAGGCTAAGGAGAAATGGAGAGGTGATCATCAGTTGATGGAGAAAAAATTGACAGACGAAGTGAACCGGCTCGTCTATGTAAATGATCACATTTAATCATGATCTGCCGTTGCATGGTTGACACCCACGAGCGACGAGAACGGGCACGGTGGCTGTGTGTACAGGTGAGAAAGCCAAGAACAGAGGCTGCCCCTCGAGATGACCAGTTAGGATACCTACAGTGGATGAAGGTCAGGAACGAGTTAATCACATTGCCGGCTTCGGCTCTCAAGACTACCTTTTGTTCCAAGCTTCTCAGAATGACGATCCTTCTCCTGGCGATGTTTACACTGACGAAGTCTAAACAAGTCGCAAATTGCGGGTGCTTCTGAGTTGACTCGTTTTATCGGACAGCTCGATGGTGTGCCACGCTTTTCTGAAGTCGAACTCGCACTAAAGAAGGCGCGGCTTGGGCGCATGCATTTGTATTGGCTGCAATCTCGTACCTACTTCAGTACCGCAGGTTGGTGCGTCAGTGAGCAGGTGTGTAAGAGGACAGGACTCGAAGTTATGTCCTACATCATGCACTGCGCAGTCGGCTGCATTAGCGTAGAGTGAGTCGAGTCTCTTGCGTTATCCCCGCGCTGAGAGCATCAGAACCTTTCTCTGCTTGTCAACTATCGTTTCTTTCGCTACTGATCGTTTACACAGGCAAGGAACTGATGATACCGATCGTGGCCGAAGAGTCCTACAGAAGCCATACAGATATGGTGAGGCCTTTTTTCTAAAGACGTCACTAAATTTCGAGTGATGGATAGACGTGAAGGAGGAAGAGAGGCGTCTTCCTGGGTAGGCGACGCCGTTCCTTGATGTCATCGTGGTCTTGCTAATGTGTCTAATGAGATCGAGCTCAACCGAGCCGGTGTACCTTCCTCAGATCGGCCTCGCCTGCCCCCGTTCTTCAAATTGCTCTCCTCTTTCCTTCCAAGCACTGCCTCGATAATTTGGTATCGGTCGCACAGCCACCAGGTGATGACTGTCAAAACTGTCAGAGGGACAGATACAACGGCTAAGATCCAGACTTGGCGAGAGATCTGCAAATTGCCCTTGTCGTTGAGATGGACAAACTCCGTTGAGAAGAAATTCTGTCCCAGTGTCAATGAAAACCTTCGTTTACTGTTCTCTCACTTACTGATACTATTGTGGTTGGCAGATACACGAGGCCGATGATTGTCAAGACCTTGACCGCTGCGGCATCCCGAGCACTTTGAGCCTACATTAACGCCTTTGTCGTCAGCCGTCTAAGAGGGATAAGTGACTATACGAAGGCCGTTTGTACTGACCGCCAGCTTAACCATCTCCTCACTCTCAATACGGGAGGCATACGCAAGCTGTGTCAATGCGGCCGCTTCTTCATAAGCAAGCAGATCTGAGAGGTGCAAGCACTGCGCAACAAGTCAAAAGGGTGACAAATTTCCTGGTTCGAGCTGGTAGACGTCTTACCAATTGCTCTGTAGATTGAACGCGCTCTCTTAGCACCTTCGCGCGGTTCAAAGATGTCTGAGCTTCTGCGGCATACCCTTCAAATCCTTCGATCTTGTGACTACAGATGCAAGAGCCTGTGCCATTGCAACTGGTTTGGCAGTGCCGTCTGCAGGCCTTGCCGATACGACTGATGGAGTCGACCATTGTCTGGAGGATAACCAGCATATCGGTGATGTAATCTTCCAATTGCTTCAGACGCTGCCGGTCTTCGGCACTGACATATATGCTGCGAGGCTCCCCATTGTTTCCTCTCTGAAGGATATCAAGGACTAAAACTCGGTTTGCCTGAAATCATCTTCGTCAGTGTCGTCTCTTGTGATATTGGCTTCTGACAATGAATAGTAGAAGCCAGCAGCATACTATTTGTTTGGACTCGGCCTCTAGCCAGGCCTGATAGTCCATCCAGCCTTTCAAACTGTCACTGACGATGCATTCATGGATAAGAAAATCCTGGCGAAATGTGTCATTCTGAGACACGTTTTCGGGGAGACGGTGCGCGATGGATTTTTCCGCCGCATGCGAAGGCGCAATGAGGATGAAGACAGACGTGCTGCGTATTGAGTTTTGACTATGCCGGTTGGGATATAACATTTTGTGGTAAACTCCCGTTTGACGTATCGACCATGGACACACTCCTTTATCCGTCGGGCTATTATTGGGTTCCACACGTCGGATCACGTAGGCGAGCTCTATCCCATCAGTCAACGTCCCTCCCTTTTAGAAGAACCCAAGAGGATACAGGGATCCTCACCATCAACTCGGCTGTGCGTATTTTGCTTGTTGTTCGCCCGGAAAGGTGGGAAATCGTACTCATTCTCCTGAAATTTGATCCCAAACGTCAATATGCATCGCCAAAAGTGATCGAACACATTATGGGCTGCTAAGAGGTGCTCGATAGTCTCGTATGAGATGTCCAGCGTCGTCCAAGATCGTAGATGGCGAACTGTGTAGATCTGAATGCAGCTGGAGGCATCGTTGTCCGTCTGTATCCGGAAGAATTTCCAATTAGTATGGGATTCCTTTAAGAGCTGTTCTTCGACCGATGTACCTCTTCGACTTGGCATAACTCTGAGACGCCATTGATTTTGACCGGCGATTGCGGTCGAACAGACCATCGGCCGTTGGCATCTCTCGACTTGAATATTGACGTGAGTTCCAGTTGCGGTCGATCTTTATGGGCCTTGAAGAGCCGGTCCCTTCTGGACTGAATTTTGTCCATCAAATATGGATCGATCCGAGTCCGATTAGACAGGTGGGCCATGGTGGGGGTGTCTGGTGCGATAATGTCCCAGCCGATCTGGCCCTTGACTGCATACGTGACATGGCATCCTATATACCACTCGACAAGAGCCGAGCTCTGTGAACTCTGGTCTGTTACTACATGGAATACAATGTCTACTTTACTTAACGTGAGGCTTAATTGAGGCGCAAGAAGGCGCCTGTGTCTCTTTAGCCACACGCTGAAGAGTCAGATCGTGGTGACTCCCATTTGACGAGGCGGACACCTTGCCCGTGCCGTCCGTCAGCCCCTGAAGGCAGAATAATGAGTAGACTAAGGTACGAAGGAGACGATGTTTGTTTGACGATCAGGCTGAAAATGGTGGGAACGAATACGGGCGATACGCTTTGTGCTACCAAGAAACTCGGCCAAAAACGACGAGGGGCTGCCTGTCACCTTCCTGTCTGGCCAAGGCATGCCTTGCGCCAGGTATTGTGACCAACCGCCGCAAAAATTCCTTTCTTAGTTATTACTAGGTTGGTATCGCTCAGCTCTACGGCATGTGCCTGTATATATGATTGGTCATAATTCAATGATGATCCCTGTTTCATGCAAGCGGTCAGTCTGACCGTCACAATGACCCAGGACTATGCCGACCTTGAAAACGCCTTCGGGAAGGCTGCTACGATCAGAAGATGTCCATGGAGAGGAAAGTATGTGTATGGTGTGACCAGCCACCAATCGATTCCATTATATCATCGTACAAGCTACCCCGAATATAGACAATATGAAGTCGTCCGACGGGCTGATTGGGAGCCCGAAGCAGAACAATTGAAGCAAGCGTATTAGGGGTGTGCCACCAGTACCAGCGGTGTGCCTATGCAGATTTCCGTAGGTCCAAATCTTTTTTCTGGTCGGTTTCGTTTATGAACCTCGTATTCAGTGGGTTTGAGACTTTGCCTTGATGTTTTGAATGTCCAGTCCAGCGTGGCCTGCAGCTAAAAGTACACCCGGCAGTCATTGATCATATCCTGTATCGGAGATCAGTCTGTTGAGCAGGCTGAAAAAAGAAAAGCCAAACGACACTCACATCTATCAAAATTGATGTTTGCTCTCTTTGATGGTCAGGAATGTAAATTTTGTATTGATCCAGGCGTAACTGTTGCGCGTTGATCAGCGTTTTCCTAGTATGGCTCATCGAACAAATGGCAGTCACCTCTACTCGAAAATTTGACTGACCGTATTCTTTCCTGAGCATCTTCACCAATTTCCGGGGATCCATATATTTCCCCTCGACGATTCGAAAGGGCGTGGGCCTGTAAGGACAACTTCGGCTCATCTTAGGATGCCTGAACGTATATTTCTAAGATTTACCCACGAGAACAAAAGAGGACAAGAGAAGGACGATATGCGTATATGCGCAGGCAACCATACATGATTGAAGCCATAGCTACGCTAACGATGGGGATGAGCATGTTTATATTCAACTCTGTCTGACATCTCCAGCAAGCAATGATAAGCAAAATGCATCATCCCTTGTCAAAGTTGTACAATCCGCGTCCTCCCTTCCGAGGTCCATACAGCCACCTGTTTTAGAGATCCAATAAGAGGGTACATGTGTCAGCCCGACCCATCAGAATCAGGCTGAGTGGTACATGACAAAATCTCATCCTAAAGAAAGCAATATTAGCGCCTCGTGACTCTTGACGCAGATACACCCAAACAAAGGTGTCATCTCATCCCTTCCAATATTGCATGTGAGCAGCCAACCAACCTGTGTAAGACTCTGCGGCGCTGTGATGTGCCATATCCCCATCTTTATCTGCGAATCGCATTAGCCTGTTACTGCAGGGTGGTGGCTTGCACAGCCCCGGGCAGCGCGGGATGACGGGAAGTCAAAAGGCAAGCAGACAGGGGTTCTGTCCTTAGGGCGAGAAACAAACACGAGGCGGAATCACTTGTCCCAACTACTCCATACCTTCGGGCGTAGGGCAGTATCTTGAAACATGGACATGGAAAAGTACTTCGTACTTACTTGGACCGTATAGGTCTTCCTGGGAAAGCGCGCCCTCAGCAGTGCCAGTAGCTTCTGTTCGTCGATGTAGCGGTTCGTGAATGACTGCTCGACCATTTCTTCGTTTGCCCCTGTGGCTTGGCTGGGTCAGGTCAGGTCATCGGGTGATGCGATGCTGATGCTGATGCTCTTGATTATGGGTATGGTTCTATTCAGGTATGGTGTTGGATTCAGCCTTGATTTATGTGGTGTTCTTGCGTGATTGAGCCGCATCTCGGCTCTCGTTGCTTTTGCCTGAGATTAAGTGCCCATGTCTCATGGTATGCGGTGCCATTTGTTTGCTTGTTCGTGTGATGGATGCGTTGGATGGGTGTTCGATGCGGATTTGCCGGCGGTTTGGGGGACAGGATACCGTCGAGGTGGAAGTAGATAGGATTGGAGATCGTTGTTGACGTGGTGCATAGGTGTTGGAATAGAGGCTGATGGATGGGTGCAAGGCTGCATCAGGCTGTAATGCAATACCTTTTAGTTAGGCAATGATGGCAGATGACCAAAGATTTCTGCGAAAGAATAAGAAATTGTTACTGGAGTGTTTACCTTGTCGAGCGGTTATTAATTACTTCGGCTATCCTTGGTCGTATTGTGCAGGGTACTGGGTGTTTCATGTAGCATGTTTATTGGCCTGATAGATTTCTGATTGGCAATAGGAACTGATTGGTTGTATCTTTGTTCTCCATCCATGCAATGTACCTTAGGCCTATGTCGCATCAGTTGTGTTTAGTGGTTCGAAACAGAGGGAGGGAGGTCCTCTATCAAGGCAATGGCCCGGTCTCCGAAGTGGAATGGAGGTCGAAAGTATGATCTTGCTGTGTTGGAAGAGGTCGATTTAAAGGAGGCTTTTGAAATAAAAGAGCATTAGACTATTCGAAGGAATAAATATATCTACCAGCTGAGAATCGATTCTCTTTTAGGCATACCAGCATCAAACTAGGATATACATGCCATGGCTAGGTTGCATATCCACTAGCCTACTGGTTATAGAGCTTTTCTCAGACGAGCGAATTTCGTTCTTAGAGATTGTACTTGTTGGGGACAGGTTTTCAGGTCACACCAGAGCAATTCAAAATTTATATAAATACAATCGAATGGCACTCATTTCCTGACCTTCTATCCGAATTCAGACAGTCAAAAGGGCAATTCAGCGAGGACACTCGATGGGTTTCTTGAACCTCAAGACCGTGTACCTAGAGCTTAGAGCAGCCGAGAGCAATGGTCCCACCCTGTGATCTAAGTTAGGACCAATGGTTCTCAAGAGCCAATGGAATCTTGGAAAGAGACGTACCAGGAGGTTGGCCTCAGTGCAGCATTGAGGAGCAGAGGAACATTCTTCAGTCCATGGGTGACCTTTACAGGAAATCCGTTAGCACAGGTCGATTGCCAGAGTATATTCTGGTCACTCACAGAGCAGTCCTACGGAACCAACTATCTGGGCAGCATTTATGCCAAGACCAAGCAGAATAGGGTCCAAAATGGGATCCAAAGGAGTGGTCAAGGAGCCGCAGCACAGTTTCGGTTCAACGCATTGGGACAGATCTGTGGCGGTTTCCTGGTTCTCGACTCCATGGACCTGGCCAGCGATCTCCTCCACCCGCGACTTCAGAGCAGAGGTGGTCGGATCCTCGGCGGGGATGGCCGCGGTGACGGCTGCAAGTGTGAGGAAGGTGACAATGGAGAGCTTCATATTGAATAGTTTGATGGTACTGCTGAGGTACGTGGAGATAGAGGATGTTTGAGAGTCTCGGTTGGATAGTGTCTTGATTTGTGAAATGACCTCGAGATGATTTCGAGCTCTTTATATCCTCACTGGCAGAGGAAGTTACCCAGGGAGCCCTTTGAGAAAATCTATGAGATGGTCCATTAACCCAATCATGTTGTCATGATCCTTATCTCTAACATCCGGAAATATGAGGTTGGGCCTCGAGGCCCAGTGAGTACACAACGACATTCAGCCGGAAAGACGGCGCTGATAGCCAGCGTCACATTCGCAAGATTCGGTTGAAAGGAGATCTACCCATTAACGGATTCAAGATAAGCGGAACCGAGTTTGGGAATAGATAGAGAACAATGATGCTGCAACCGAAAACCAAGGATATATCATGGCTCGGCGCTAGGAAGATCGTCGCCAGGAACCATATTTACCCAATGAAGCGTTTTAGTCAGGTCCGTAGCACTTTCGGAGGCGGACGGCACTGAAGGCCAAGAATAGGTAAATCCAATATTTCAGCAAAAGAGTCAGTAGTTCGAGGAAATATAGTGATCCATCAACTCATGTGAGAATTCCTTATCTCAGTGGATCTGGAACCCTGAGGCCACTCTGGACTGGCGTCGAATCGGATCAGTGATGCGCTGATGATCGGCAGCAAGGTACCGGCGATCTACGGAGTCTATGGAGTCTCAATGATAAAGAGCTGCATGAGAAATAATGAGCTCCATAGTGAGGCTTTAATTGGGACCTAAGCGAAGCATCAATACAATAGTCGAGTTGTTTTTGGTTTTGAGGACCTTGCATGGTGGCGCCCTCTAGTCTCACATACCAATTCTTGGACAGCTGGACGAATAGGGTGTGAATAATGGGCAGCAACGACGGTTTTAAGCAATATTTAGATTCATAGAAACAAGCATAAAAGGTCGATGAAACATGGAAGGGGGTGTAGTTTAGTGCCTCATGATATGGCGAAACTTCCAGTACGTCTCGGTTGGATCAAGGACATCTGATTTTCTTTTCAAGGAGCACCTGCTGTTTTGAGTTTAGCATCTCAGTCTTTCATTCGGGTGCTTTCAGACTTGAATATCATCGTCTTTTTTATATTCACCGAGTTCTTCGAGTTCCTCGTCGCCAGTATCCTTCTTGTGAGTAGTACTTTGTGTCATGGTTACTGTGCCGTTTTGATCACCCCTGGCCTATCGTCCTTATTGTCCGTCTGCTACCTTGGCCTTTCTCTTTAGAGCGACCCCCTCACCTAGATCATTTGTTAGGTCGCTTGTGGAAAAGGCCTTCTCAGGTTCGGCCTAGAGCACATCACCTTGGCGTTTTGTTCCCATGATTGCTGTGCCACCATATGCCTTATTAATGTACGACGATACATGCATTTTGCAGAGCGAGCCTTTTAAGGCCCACACAATCCTGTCCATCATCTCGTTGCTGAAGCTTCTTACATAAGAAGATCCCGAGGTGGATGTTCTTGACGTTAAATTGAAAGCGTGCCAGGTGATCCGCACGTCCCAGTCCTCTTTCATGGGCTAGAGCATGCTGTACTTTAGGAGACCGTGTGTCTCGCCACTCAGTATCTGGTTTGAATGTCGCCGATCCCTTTGCCTCGCTCCTTCGGCTGCTCCTAACTCAAGTGATCATTCCAGGTTCTACCCACCAGGGCCTCACCATGTCTGAACGAATCCATTCGAGCCATTCATCATTGTCTTTGAGGTTGAGTACTTCCTGTAAATCCTTCTTAGTGTTCTGGAATTTCTTTGCTTTGAGGCCTGTGTCCTTCTGTCCAGTATCGGGTATGTCCATGAAGATAAAATCAAATTGTGCATTGTCATCTGCTGCGTTGCTTATGGTGGATGTTCGAAAAGGGTTTCTGGCAGATGGGGAGATGGAGCTGGGAACATGGAGATGAGAAGGGAAGATGAGGCTATATATAATCCTGCTTAATATTTGATATTCAACTTTCAATGAGCAGAGTGGAACGAGTCAAGGCCAGTGGATAGTAAGAATGAACTGAGATAATAGTAAGAGAATAATGATATCTTCATATTGACCTTGACCATAATTGTCTCTCGCTTTCCTTTCACCTTAGCCTTCTTTCAGATTAATAGTCTACTACTATAGATTATGATTATCTTGCAGTATTAATTCACCATCACTGCAGACTACAGAGTAGAGCAGATCAAATCATGAAGCTATCCACTGAAAGGAGTAGATATTCCCAGTTGGGTATAGTGGAAGTGGCGCTCAAAGCGAGTGTGGCTGATGGAGCCAAGGCCACCAGCCACAGGGACACACAACCCGCAACGCAAAAATTCGGGACCGCGAGAATCGACCCGCCGCCAGCGCACACACCGTTCGCCGTTTCTTCTTGATACCACCGACGTTTTCTGTCACTGGGTATCTATCCTAGTATCTATCAGACATTATGGCGCCTATGTCCATTGCAGACCTTGTGGCTGCCCTCCCCGCTGAGGACACCTGGGGCCCCGCCACTCCCTCCGACAACATGCTCGATGGCGTTCCCTACGCTCCTTTCTCAAAGGGTGACAAGCTTGGCCGTATGGCTGACTGGACCGGTGATGGCAAGGATCGTGACAGGGGTGGTCGTCAGGCCTACAACCGGAATTACAGAGGTGAGTCCCAATCGTCCCGCACGTCTTTGAGATTGGTGTACTGACCCGGACCAGATCAACAGGTTTACGGCGCGGGCACCTCCAGCTTGTTCAACATCCAGGTCGCCGAGGACGAGTCTTCCTTCTCCGTTGTCGATAACACCCGCACATCGACCAAGCGTACCTTCGCCCGTGGTGGTGGCACTGTCTTCCGTGGCCGCGGTCAGCGTGGTGTCGGCCAGAGAGGTGGTCGCGCTGGCTTCCAGAGAGTCGGTGCTGGCCGTGGCCAGGGCGGCGATCGCTACTATGACAACCGCTCTGCACGCGGCAACCGTGGCCGTCGTTTTGGCTGGAAGGACTATGACAAGCCACAAAGAACCCGTGAGCCCTCGGTCAACGTCCGTCCCGACTGGACCATGCTGGAGGAGGTTGACTTCAACCGGCTGTCCAAGTTGAACCTCGAGGCTCCCGAGGGTGAGGATCTGGACTCCTATGGTTTCCTCTACTACTACGACCGGTCTTACGACAAGGCCCCCGTCAAGAACGCCGAGCGTAAGCTGCAGGCCCTTGAACGTGCCGCTTACAACGTCACTACTTCTCAAGATCCTGTTATCCAGGAGCTCGCCGAGAAGAACGAGGCGACCGTCTTCGCCACCTCGGACATTCTGTCCATGCTCATGTGCGCTCCTCGCAGTGTCTACTCGTGGGACATCGTTATCGTCCACCAGGGCGACAAGATCTACTTCGACAAGCGCGAGGGTGCTTCCATCGACTTGGTCACCGTCAACGAGAATGCTGCAGATGCCCCTATGGAGACGACCGACTCTTCCGGCAAGCAGGAGTCGATCAACACCCCCAGTGCTCTTGCTCTGGAAGCCACATTCATCAACCACAACTTTGCTCTGCAGACCGTGGTGGAATCCGAGGAATCCAAGGTCACCTTCAGCCACCCAAACCCCTTCTACAACGCCGCCGAGGAGACTGAACCACTTGCCTCCAAGGGATATAAGTACAGACGGTTCGATCTGTCCCTGCAGGGTGACGAGGAGCCTCTCAACATGATCGTCCGTACCGAGGTCGACGCCGTCATGAAGAATCCCGTCGGCGGCGAGGACCAGCAGTTGATTGTCAAGGCTCTCAACGAGTTCGACAGCAAGGCCCCCGGCTCCGGTGGCGCTCTGGACTGGCGCAGCAAGCTCTGGTCTCAGCGCGGTGCCGTCGTGGCCACCGAGATGAAGAACAACAGCATCAAGCTCGCCCGCTGGACCACCCAGGCCATCCTCGCCAAGGCTGACGCCATGAAGCTTGGTTTCATCTCGCGTGCCAACCCCCGTTCCGCCACCTCCCACGTCATCCTGGGTGTTGTCGGCTACAAGCCCCGTGAGTTCGCTGCCCAGATGAACCTGAACCTCGGCAACGGATGGGGTATCGTCCGCACTATCGTCGACCGTATCCGCTCCCTCGATGCCGAAGAGGAGGAGGACAAGGTCAAGAAGTACGTCCTCATCAAGGACCCCAACCGCCCTGTCATCCGTTTGTACAGCGTGCCCCCGAACACTTTTGAGGAGGATGACGAGGCCGCCGAGGAGCAGGAGGAGAAGGCCGAGGAGGAGTCCGAGGAGTAGATCTGTTGATGTCATTGATTTGCCATGATCGCACGGAGTATAATGATGTCTTTCCGATTATAGTGTGCATATTCAAAAGTTGCTTAGATTGATGGCATGTCCGGCATTGCAAGACTGCCTTCTACCGGGTCTACATAATCATCCCTGCTGCAGAGTCATGTAGATATTCGGTAGTCTCTCGTAGAGAGGTATATAATATCCACTTGGATAGAATCGCAAAGCCGTCTCACGCGTCCAGTCCTTGAGGATCAGTGTCGAAACCTTCCCGCTCGGAGTTACTTCCCAAATCGTCATGATTCACCCCTCCATCTCGACTCGTTCTCCACAATAGGCTCCTCCTCCGAAGTGAAACAAGCCAAACCTTGATCCCCAGTCCGGGCGGCCACGCTCCGCATTCCGCACGGACAACCCGTTCGTTCCCAGCATTGAGCCCTATCAAGGTTTCCGTTCCAGTAGATCAATCCAGATCGTCTAGTGAGCATGAATTTGAGGCCCAGGCATATATAATAAACACGCGTTTTTACTCCGTAGCCTCAGCTTGTTTTCCATTAAGGGCTAAAATATGGATGATTCGACCTTACGAATCTCAGTCATGCGTCAGAATCGCCAGCCAGGACAACTGGCCGATTACCGGGTTCGGGAAGGAGGTCTACTACTACTAGCACTTAGGAATATCGTATGTGATGGGACGCCCCCGATCACGGCAGCGAAATTTTCTTATGGGTGATGTGGGGATGCGGCATGGTTTGTCTCGAAATTGGAGTACGAATAAGGAAGGACTGTAGGTGTGTGGTATGCAGGGGCGTTAGCGTGCAGAACTGCAGGACTGCAGGTTGTTGACTGCAGGTTCTTGCCTGTGTGCTGGATTGGTTAAGAATGCTGTCAGGGCGGGAGAGCGTCGAGTCTGACAGGCGGTACATGAATGTCTAGATCGTAGGGTAGAACCCAACTTGATATACGTGACCGACTTCAACAGTTCAACAATGAAAAGCTAGCGAGTAGCTGTTTTACATGCCATACTTTGGCCTGCAGAAATTAGACATGAGGATCAAGGTAATCCTCGGGCTGAATCCGAAAAAAAAGGGAAGGCCAGTAGAGACAAAGGTCAAGGAGGGATCGAAGAGCAAAGAGTGGCAAGTTAGGCATCCCAGACGCCAGAAAATAAAGAACCAAGAACCAGTCATCTGTTCCATGAAAGAAAAAACAAAAGAAAAGAAACGAAAGGAGGCTAAAAAAAAAAGAAAGAATCGCCAAACCTTCCATTCACTTACATCCACTTTTTCTGAGAAGGAAAGAACTCCACACTCCCCAGTCCGCTTGAGAAAGAGGTATCAGATATCACATCACGAGTACATCGTATCGTCGCCCGCGCAGGAGAACCTGGTATCCACCTTGGACCCCAGGACACTGCTTAGACAGTCCATGAGCTCAAAGTCTTCGACAACGGCTCCAAAGCCGTAACATCGTACTTTGGTGTTGAGCGTCTCGATGATGACCTTGACATCATCCTTGGTCAGGGTGCGGTACAGTTCGTGGTTCTTCAGACACTGCAGCGCCATGATTGGGGTGATCTGCCCCTCTGTCACGAGCTGTCGACTGAGATTGAGTAGAGTTGTTAGGTTGGCGTGCGGAAGATCGTAGGTTTTGTGTGGATAGGCCTGCTCTGGCGTTGTGTTGGCGATGTAACTCGGCGGGGGGCAGGTGGCCATCAGAGCGTGGCCTGAGAACGGCATGTCCTCGTCATCTGCCTCGGTGACAGATCTTCGGCACAGATAGTCGGTGTGCTCGCGGCAAGGGGATTCCAATCTGCACTTGTTAGCTTTGATTGATAAGACGGGTGGGCGCGGGCAGCATACGTGAGTATAAAATCGATCTGAAGCTGGGGGTCCACCTCGAATATACCCCCAACAGCCTGGACAGGTTCTTGATTTCGAGCAATGGCCGATAGATCGAGATTGGCTGGTATCTCGCACGACGAAGCCGTCATCATGGCAATAGGGGGTGGAGGAGTGATTTCGTGTGTGGGGGATATTTCCACCCGTTCCATCCCAATCGCCAGAGGACTCAAGTCTGACGAGACGTTCGATACTGTGGTTGGTGGTGTGGTATAGGTGTTGCCGTTGGAGGCTGCTAGTGCTGCGGGCGCCTGAGATACCACACTACTGCCGGCCAACGGGCTCGACTGGAAACCTCGGCCTGCTGACCGTCGTTCCGCCCTGCGACGCTCCAAATCCGCCTCAAATTGAATCCCATGTGCGGTAAGAAGTTCCTTCAAGATCGCATTCTCATCGTTCACCGTCTGCAGCATTTCTCGATGCTGGACAACGGCGAGGTTCGCTGCAGACATCTCCTGAGTGAAAGCCTCCCGGAGTCGGGAAACTTCAGTTTCCAGGGACCGGATATATTGCTCTTTGCGCTCGCGGTGGGTTCTTTGTGCCTGCCGATTCAGTTCCTGTCGTCGTGTCAAGGCAGGCCTGCTGTCTGGCTTGGGACCTCGTCGTTTGGCGGGTTGGCCATCTAGTAGGTACCATCCTGATTAACGGTGGCCAGGAGGCACCCAGAAAGATATGGAATACAAACCTCGGGTAACCTTTTTCTGCCCTCCAAAAAACTGAAAGAAGTTTGTGCTCATTGAGGTGGGGGTTTTCAGGCTGGTTTGTGAGGGGGCTCCTGCAACAGCATCTGATTAGCACATGTATGTACACTAAATCTCAACACAAAGAAGCCAGGCAGCAACAGATCTAAGAGAGCCCGACGACATCACTCTGAAGCATTCCAGAACTGACAAACCGAATGATGGATGGAATGTCATCTGATCAATGACAATCGACCCTGCATGGCCAGAGAATGTCCATCTGCGACTTTGACATGACGATCACCCGGCCACATTCCATGAATTTGGAATTAAGCATTGCGGATGGTTCATATTGTACATGGGTAAAACAATGGGGCTTGTGATGGCTCAAGTACACCGGCGGCCAGGGAGGTACAATGATTTGAGATCCAAGAACAGGAACGCGGAGCGCTATGACCTACCCCGTGTGTGTCCATAGTCCACGGGCATAACCCCTCCGTTCATTGAAGCCATTGTGGTGATATTTGTCTGCGAACAGGCTCAGAGATATCGGATGCGACCGGCGCGTTTCAAAGTAGACGGAGGATCGCAACTTCGATTGGACGTAGTCGAGAATTAATGGCGGCTCTAAGAATACCCTTGGGCTTCAATATTGACATTCAAAGCATCTAGACAGTCTGTCAGTTTTCTCCTAAGGATTATAAGAGAAAGAATATATGGCACCCGGGGTTCTCACCATTGAAACTTCAACTTCCACGATTTGAACGCACGGAGCGAACAGCTTCCCCGATGCGCACACGATAGAATTGACTTGAAGAGCAGGCCACAAGTTTCAAACAGATGTTTGGGAGAAGTCCAGACAATCCTTAGATGGCGACGTGATGGAGGACAATGAAGAACAAATGAAATGATAAAGGAACGGAGAGTGTAGCAACGCAGAGATGGAAAAGTGATGAGTTCAAGGAATGGATTTTTTTTTAGGTTTCGAACGGTTTTTGGAGTCTGAAAGGCAGAGAGGGCCACAAAGACTAAGAGTGAAAGACGAACGGGAGTGGGACGGGGAACTAGGAGTGGGAGAGACTTCAGAAAGATCGACTGAAAGTGTACGGAGTCGACTAAAGTGACTGGTAAAATCGACGGCAGCCAGTAGGGTCAACTATTTATTAGTATGAATGTATGATCGTGATGTAGTAGAGATCAGTTTACGGATAGATCGGTGGCTAACGACTCCGTAATGCGCCTTGCGAACCATCATTCTTCTTCTTATTATTATCTATCTACCTTAAGAGTGCTACTACTACTACTGTACTGTGTAGATGAACTAAACTAGGAACGGTGATCCCACCTGGACCAGGCGATCGTCCATGGGCCAAGGCCAGAAATGGGGGACTACCCGCAGAAACCTGGTTTTTGTTGTGCGCAATAAAATAATCACGAGTCCTCCATTGTTCCTCAGCGTCTACTTTAGTCGATCGACTTTTGACTTTTTGACTTTGGAGTCTTGGATATTTGAATTCCCGACGCTAGTCATCTAGTGGTTACCACTCCGTACTATGGTAACTAGGATGAGTGGCCCGGCACACTGGAGAATGCCGGGGAGATCCGTTCCTCAATAATCTCGAGGAATTCATTCAGTAACAATGTAATAATTTGAGATACTTAAGCCTTGATCTGTGCTCACTATTGCCACCTGCCTCGGAGACCCCGTAAATCTGTCTATCTATATTCTTTACTTAGTAAGGATAGCTAGATAACTACCGGGTAACTCCTTCGAGCTTCATCTCTGTAGACCTATGGTCGGCGCGAAGCTCAACAGATCTGGCCGCGGGTCGACGAAAAGTGGAGATCTGGTTGTTCTTTAGCACCGCGCCACCCGGTTTCTCTCTCTGCTAGATAATTTCTGCCCCTCAGTTACCGATAGAGTAATAATACGGAGGACACTAACGACTCCCGTCATTACTAATACCTTAGTACGCTCTCAGTTGAGAGAACTGAGAAGGCTATTCGACAGCGATCATCCCCAGAATCAATAGGTAATCAATAAGGGTAGTGACAAAAGCAAAGATGGACGGTTGGAAACCCTTGCAAGAAGAAATGCATCCACCCGTGTGGAGGAGCAGAAGACCCAAGACGTTCGCATCACCTCATGTGCGATCGGCTAGACAGACTAACTCTGCAGTCAATAGTCATGTTCCTACCTTCCCACTTCAATTTCAATGCCAGTGAAGGCCATGGATATGATCGTTCACATTACTGACCAATGATAAGATAGGACCCTTCTGGAGAAGCAATGCTCGTGTCCCTGATTCTTGTTGGTAAGAGCTGTCGTAGGCTGCATTCTGCCCCTGTCAGTGTTCCCTTCAGAGTTCCGACTGGGTAGTGCCACTGTGGACGCAAGACCCAACGAGGTGGACTCGACCTCATTCTCCAGCATTTCATGTGTAGGAGTTAGATCAGTCATGCTGCGTCACCCACCATGTGTGTCAACAATGGATCTGATTGACGAGATCTATCGCTTTTGTAGGCCATTCAGAGCGCTTGATTTCTCTGTAGACCAGCATTAGCCTAGATAGATTGAGAGATCTCAGCGCTCGGTCCGTCTGTCACCACACTAGACCAGGACAGAGTAAGCAATCTCATAGATAGACTAATTTTGTAGACTCGTTCGGTCTTGTATGTTCTCTTCCAAGAGAGCGTCCAACATCATCCGGACACCATTTGTTGGGTTCTCTTCTCAGTCTCTGCTTCTGTCCTTTTTTTCCCCTCGTTTCTGCGTAAGGGGGAGGAATGCAAGCAATTGAGCACTTCAGCTGTCTGACGGGAACGCAAGTTGGAACGTTGCTCTTTACCAAGCTAAGCAATGGTGACATGCAGCGGGACCTGAAGTGGACGGAAAGGAAACGGCAGAACAGGATCGTTGCATAGAAGAAACTCATTATTTGCCTGCTTCAGTATCTCGCATCCTTCCCTGCAGATACTCGAAGTCGATACTATGAGCGTTGGAAGCCTACAGAGGTGATGTAACTTAACCTGATCATTACACTTCTTCAATTCCTTTTTTTTTTCCCCTCTTTATTTGTTGCCCACCTCTCTCCCTTGTTGGTGCAACCTTTGCGTGACGGTCTCGATTCGCGTCGGGGACCAAGACAATCGCCGGTATCGATAAATTACTCTCTGGAACACCTTTTTCCGGGTATGGGCGAACACGTTCGAAGACCGATCTTCAAAAGTAATTGTCAGAATCCCGAATTCAGAGATAGGAAATCTGGTCCTTGCTTGTTGGTAGTACGGTACTACTTGGTAGCGCATGACCATCAACAGCATAGCATAGCATAGCATAAGGAAGCTAATGATGAACAGCTATCATCACCGAGTGCGACCATAGCCGTGAAACTTACCTAAACCAAATCGATACTCAAGGTTCCCGATTGAAACACAGAACCCTGGATTCCTGGAACCGAGTAGCGTAATCCTCTGAGTCGAGGCTGGGAGATCGGCGATGCTCAGACCCCTCAGGAAGAGACTATTGACTGTCGATGGTCGATCGCTAGCCTCAGGCCGCCAGGCGCCCATAGAGGAAAATCAACGGAAACCACTGTCCCCTCAGCTGACTGGGATTGGTGCCTTGCAGCCTGAGACGGCCAAGTCTGGACCTTCAACTTTTTTTTGCTTCTTCCAACGGCACCAATCGAACACTTCCTTGAGTTGATCATGACGATGCACTAGCTACGATCTGAGCATCATCTGCTCATCATTTTTTTGCATTCAGGCTGATTTAAAGCTGATCACCATGCCCAATCAGAAATCCCGATGTTCTTGCCATGAAGTATTCCGAGATCCTCGTCCACATCTCCGCTCCTAGCGGAGTCCGGGATGATGTCCGATACCGAGCTCAGGTCGAGGCTATTCTTGGATTTCAGAGTCTGTCACGGCAGCTCATCACCTTTTCGTCCGATGAGCGTCGAGGGAGCCATGGTGCACCGGCTACGGGGCAGTCAATGTCTACGGATCAACCCGTTGATGCAGACCCCAGGGGAGAATCGAAATGCATTCAACCGTTTCTTCCTAACTCACAGAGCACGATTCCCGATGAAGATGTGGAAGTGGGACGCTCCAATGCAGCCAGATCCACCCCAGGACATGAGGGACTACCCAACGCTACTGCTGGTTCAACAACACTAACGATCAAAGACTCGACGATTCTTCCAGATTCCGAGGTTGATAATGGCCATCAAATCAGCCCCGTCTTACTACTTCCTCAGCCGCAAAATGAGCGCGCTGTAAAAGATTCGCTCGAGAGTCCGCTCAGTGTCATACCCGACTCGCAGCCAGAAGCGATGCGTAGCCAAGCTGAAGGCCGGCTTCGCCCGGTCTCCTATGTAGCCCTTGGCTCTCCTCCCACCAAACGACATTGTTCAGGGTTATCGTCGATGCTACAGGAAGTTACACCTCTCTCTGACGCTCTCATACTTGCTCCCAAGCTGAACGAAGAGCGCCACAGAAATTGCGAGTCGGCTGATCCTCATCCTGTTCTGCAGATCACCCCACAACCAGATCCCGAGAGACCACCACAAGTATCCCTTGATGGTCTTCCACTAGCCATCAAGCCCTCGCTTCCTCCGGTGTCCAAGGAGCAATTTGTAACCCATGTCACCCCCACTCTGGCCATGTTGACAAGGCGTTTGAAACCAGCACGAACGTATAAGCCTGTGAAACAAACTAGGGACCTGGAGCAGTTGGAGAGGGGCCATTGGTACCTTCACATCAATATTGTGCAGCTTGAAAGAGACAGACCCCTTGGTACTCCTGGTCTACAGGAAAATGAGGCTCGGAACTGGGATTTAGCCTGCTTCTCCCGCTTCTGGTCTTTTCTGTCGGATTTCATCTCTAAGGACGGTCGGGCTGGTTGGGGTGTCTGGTGCATATTGGAAGATGCGCCTGAAACCCTCTGCTCAGATCCAACCGACCGCCAGATCATGCCACAGAGAACGACAGCGCCGATCATATCTGACGGAAAGACTAATCCCCACAGCTTTGTTCGGCCCGTGATACTGAAACTCTACGCGTGGGGGGAGATCGCGCTTCATATGTATCTCCTCCTTTTCTTAGCCAGCGAACGAAGAATTCGCAAAATGGGCGCGCAGTGGCGAGACGGTCGCGATGAAGTAGTCATTGAGATGCCCTGATACCGCAATTTGATATCTAAAAGCCCCAAAGATATCTGATGACGTCATCCTTCTGGCTTGGCTTACTGGCGAATCATGAATGGCCTCATCAATAGACGATTATTGCAAGTCTTTTCATATCAGTAGGCATCGATATGCTAACTGATCATCCCCTCTACAAGACTACAAAGTCTTCCGCAGGTGGATAACTAGATGAGACGAAGGTCATGATCGGACGGATAGGGCGGTGGAGCCGATGTGATACGGATATCTTGGCTTACTCCTTCCGCGTTTTGGACGCGTCTAACTAAGCCTGACGGACAAACCATCAACAAACGATGAATATATCACACTGAGTCCTGAATCCGTCGCGCACATTGCTGTTTCGACCTCATTGCCCTCGCCCATAAATAATTGTTATCATGCCTCCGAAACGCTCTGCTTCGAACACGTCCTCTAGCGGCTCTAAGAAAGCCAAAGTGGACAGCAACGCAAGATCGGGCGGCCCCCGCACAATGAAGAGCACGCGCTGGTCGCGAGTCTCCGGATCTGGCAATGCTGACGCTGCATATAAGTCCTCCATCGAGGATCCTGTGAAGGCATATTCCTATGTATGCATCTGTCGGCTGCCGTTGGACGATGGAGACGACCGGAAAGATGAAAGCGATCGGGAAGACGAAGACGACCGCGAAAATGAAGATGACAGGGAAGATGAAACGTCCAAAACCTCCTGCGACGGGGGCAAGACATGCCTGTGCAACAAGCCCGCAGCAGAGCACCCTAATCATCCTTTAATTCTGACCAACGCGGGCAAGAGCAAGTGGTTCACTCAGCATACTTTTCTGGACCTTCGCTGCCCAGATGCCTTCAACATGTATACCTTCAACGACCATGAGGGCTATGGCGCGCTCGAGGTCGTGCAAAACCTATTCATCGACTACGTCGAGGCCTTCTTTGATTGGGAAGAGCAGTGGGCAGTTTGCGAGGCTACAGCGATGCTATACATGAGCGACGCTTTAGGCCCGTTGAACTCGTAAGACCTGGTGAATCACGCTGTTTGAAAGTAAATATGCTGACCCTCCTTCCTTCGACTACAGCATCGACGATTCCGCCGCCGTCTACGCCACCCTTGTATTGGCTGGCCGCACGTTCCTTGCGATGCTCGCGCAGCTCGAGCACCTTAACCTCCTGAAGCCAGATTCTGAGGTTAAAAATCTCGGCTTCATAATGGCCCTCTACATTAAGCTTGCTGCCACTGAGGACATCCTTGACCTCGACGATGTCGCCGACGAGATCAAGAAAAATAATGGAACGGACGAGACTTTCACCTTTGTTCGGTCGAACTTCCCCTCCCACATCCTCGCCTACGCTAAGAAATACAACATTAAACTTGTCGGGCCCACGGGCATTGACGAGGTTATTGAGGACCTGGATGACGGGGCTGAACTGCCCGAGCGTGACGAGAAGCCTTTCGGTGACCCCTGGAATTTGGGTGGCGCTACCAAAGAGTACGTTGACAATTACGCCTCTTACCATGACGGCCGGAAAGGGTTCAAGACTCGCCCTGGCGGCGACGCCCTGGACATCACCACCTGGAGTTCAGCAGACCGCAAGAAGGCGAGCTTTGACGGTAAGGACCCCCTCGGTAAGGAAGAACGTGACGCCATTAAGAAGGGGTTGGTCATGTCTCTTGCGTAGCCTGCCGTGGACTAAGTCCGTGGCGGATTCCTCGTACGGTTGTACCTTGGCATATGTTATACGAAGGGGATTGGATTTTGTTTGGCGGGGTTTGGGATTATGTTCATATATAATTACACGTTTATTTCTATACAGAGAATCACAGTATCGCCGTTTACGGCTTGCATCTTCAGAGTTTCAGGGTTGGAAAGGGTCACTTTCTGTACCAAGCAGCTTATCTATGATCAACCTGAATCACCAATCTCTCGTCCGAAGTCTAAATGTATCTGGGGACATATTCATCAGAAACAATCCATTAACTCCTAGATCTCAGCCGCAAGTATGGTACACTTAAGGGGATGCCGGAGGTTCCATGAATGAAATCCCAAAGATCCTTGAAACAGGAGAAAATAGAAAGGAAAGAGAGTACAAGTGATAGAAAAAGAGATACCAGTCTGATGAAAGGAGAACCACGCCAGTGATAATGTGACAGAGGAAAAGAAAGCAAAAAGTGTATGGCTGAATTATGCGGAATCACAACATTTATCAAAGTATGTAAAGAGATTTTCAGTCGCAGATTTTGATCCGGACACAAAGAGAGCGAAACCGAAGGGACGAGCACATCCCTGAAAGGAGTTGGCGACCGAAGGACTTAAGGCGGAAAGAAGGGGATCCAGGCGAAAATCCGGCTGGATCAAGAAATGATACTTGTAACGCGCAACTTAGTAATTCAATTCACCACTGCCTGCTCCGCCGACAGCGTCGAGGTCCTCATAGCTCTTAATGCTGCGGCCCTGGGTGGCTTCGCGGGGTCCCATGCCCTGCTGGCCAGGTCCCGATCCCATCGCATCAGGAAATGGACCTGCTCCCATCAATGCAGCGGCGGCAGGGTGGCCAGGAGGAATATACGGCATTGCACCACTCGCTCCCATACGACCTCCGGCACCGTACATGCTCGGCATGCCGCGGACGGGACTCAGATGACCTCCACCAGAAGCGCCTTGACGGTTGCCGCGCCGGTCATACGGTCCGGACCGGTTGTTGTAACGACCCCCACCACGACGGATGACACCAGGATGATGGAGACTAGCAGCATGCTCGCCGGTTACCAAGCCATTCGCGTTCCAGGCCTGGTTATTTACGTTCATGAAGCCCGGAATACCAGCAGCGCCGGGGAGACCATGGGTTCCACCAGGGATGTTGACGTTGTTTGCAAGATAGGGCGGTAAATTGGCCAAGCTGAAACCACGAGGGGTGCCGGTCTGATTTTGACTGGAGCTGAGAGGGAAATGACCATTGCTGTTGGCATCGGAACGCGAGGGGGCGATTCGAGCAGGATCGAGAACGTAAGAGTTGACCAGAGAGAGCTATTGTATTTGTTAGCTGTAAGCTCAATCGAGTATCGGACATGGTTGCGCAACTTACATCACTCTTGATGTTCTCAAACCATTCAGTGTGGCGTTTCTCCACATGCTTGCGCCAGAAGTGCTCGGCCTTGAAAAGCTTTGTGCACTCCGGCACCTTACACCGGAACTTCGCTTCATCTTCCTGCTTGACAAATTTCGATAATTCCTCCTCAAGGGCCTCCTCCACGGGCTTGCCACCGAGTTTTCTAATATCCACATTATCTGGCTCGAGAATCTGCAAGAGCTTATCTTCAAAAGTCCGGACCCAGTTAAACGCGCGCTGAAGCTGTTGCTCCGCCTTAGACAAACGGTGCGTTCTCTTCTCCTCTACAGGCGGCTGTTCCTCTCCCTCTTCGCTGGGCTCCTTTTTCTTCACAGGGAATGGCTGTCCAAGGGCACTGGCTCTGGCGACGGCTTTCGACTGGCTGGTGAGGCCGGCTCGCGGCCGACGAAGATGACCTCCAGGACACTTGCGTGCAAGTTCGTGCACCGAGTCACTCTCGAAAACGCAGAAAAAGCAAAAGTTGTAGACTCTGCGTAGATATTCGACCATAAGGTCCAACTTTTTCTTCTTGGCCAGAAGTTCTTCATCATCGACTTCGTCATCGTCCCATCCTTCTTGCTCTTCACCTTCTTCCGCTTCACCCTCGTCAATATCAGCGGGGTCAAAGTCAGGTTTCCGCTTCTTGACAGTGACAGGGCCTGTGACAGGAGGCTGAAGCCAACCCTTTCCGCGCAGCTCCTCAACACGGTCTTCAATTTTGGAATAACCGTCGGCGTTTCCACCCATCTCAGCATCAAGCTTACAGACCAAACGTCGGGCCAGTTCAAGGTCACGTTCAATCCGCTCTGGGGCGGAGAATAGATCCCACAAAGCCTTTTTGCGTGTCTGGGAAGGTGGAACGTGTACACCGACATGGCACACAAAATCTCCGTGAACGGGATCATGGATCGTCTTGTCGTTGACAGCTTCCAGTGCCTTCTCGGCCGCAGATACAGTTACAGTCCCATTGGCACCCTGATCATGATCCATTTCCTCGCCTTCCTCCTCTCGACCATCTCCTCTCTCAATCACTGCGCTCTCTGGAGCTGGGTGGAGCATAATCCAACCCATTCGGTGGAACTTCTTCGAAGGATTCGGATCGCTTAGGCTGAGCCACTTGAAGCCGCCGTCCTGCTCCCCTAGATGCTCCTTGCAGAATTCTTCAATCTTCGCGCGGCTCACATTGGGTGCCAAAGTCTTAATAAGCAAGGCCGGCTGTGACAAAGCCTCATCGCGCAAGTCGCCACCTCTGACAGGAAGCAAGTCCAAAACACCCAGTGTCTCGCCAACGGCAGTTGTTTCGCCTTCTTCCTTCTCGATAACACCGCCTGCGCCATCGCTTTCAGTCTTGTAGATTCCTTCCAGGGTGAAATCGTCAAACAGACCGCCTTCAAGGTCCCGCTCCCATTGCTGATAAGCACCCACACGGAAATCCATCAGGCGTCGGCGAAGAGGATCCCTGACTTCGGGAACATAGCGCTCCTTGAACCACTCCTCATTTCGATGATGTTGAACAAACGTCCTTGACATCTTAATTTGGAGATCGACCTTGTAAGTGTCATAAGCGGCCTGGATCTGCGCCCTTTCTCTTTCCCGGTCCTCGCGAGCCTCGCGTTCCCCCTTGACACGATCAGATGGGCGCCGTCCGCCGTATTTTGCGCGATCTTTCTCCTCTTTGATGGATTGCTCAGCACGCCACCATTCTGCGAACCAATTGAATCCAACTTGAAAGTCAAGGTTTAACGGGTTCGGAAGAGGGTTCGTTGGAAGTGGTCTTTTGCCAGACTCTTGTCCAGGAACGTAACGGTCGATATTGGCAACGGTTGGCGACGGAGCAGCACGCCGGTCCTCGCGCTCTCGAAAGGGATTCTCGCGAGTCGAGGCGTAGTAATCGTCGCGAGAAGGGCGGCGGACTGAGGGTTCGTAGCGATCAATCATAACTGGAGAGCGAGAACGGCCCCGTGTACCGCGACGCCGGTCTTGGGCTCCTGGGAAGGGCGGAGAGTGATTAGTTTCAAAATATCGTTATCAGCTGTTCTTAGGTACTCACCAGGTGACCTGCGCCGGTAAGAATCCGTTTGCGTTCGAGCCGCGTAAGGATCCCCCTCCCGGTTCCTCCCGGGTGATCCAAAACTCTCGTAGGAGTCCATTATGGCGCGTGTTACAGCGCGTAAAACCCTCGAAGCTGGTATATGTTGATGTCACGGGGTACGTGCAGTTACGGCGCGAGCGTTCTGTGGTAAGAGAAGAGCACGGTGCGAAATGGCAGTGACTTAAGAAGGCACGGACTGGTCGCGTGCGAGAGCGAAAAACGCGGAAGTAAGCTAAGACCCGACATCGTCAACATTAGAACAAGTTCGTTCACTTAATATGAGTGTCTGACAGCTTGTACGCTGTAAAGGATGATAGGGACGGGTCGGGGTGAAGAGAAGATGAGGTAGTCGCCCGTAGCCTGGCGAAGGAGGATATGGAAGACATATTGACAGAAGAACGACAAGAATAAAGCGAGGAAAGAAGGAGCATAAGTATAGGAGATGAGCGCGCTCCTAAGAGCGAAAGAGAGAGTTGAAGAAAGAAAGAGTAGAGATATGCGACTGAGGTACGGAGAATCTCGAGGGCTGTGGACGGCGCGACGATGATCGACGACACCCAGGTAAGACAGGTGGAAAAGACAATAGATGTCGGAAGGCAAGTATGTCTGGAGTCAACGATGGGGGAGCTTCGTCCCGAGAGGAATTGAGCTGGGAATAGAAGGAAGGCAAAAGACAAAGGGTGACTTGATAGTGACAGGACACACGATGAAATGAGAGAGATGATGGGCAAGGCAGGCAACCTACAAGTAGCCTTTGAAAGAGGTATCACACACCAATCACGTCCAATCTGACGAATCCAGACGGAAAGAGACTGCTGTTCCCCCGGGGACAGGGTCTGGTGGTTGAAATGCAGAAAGAGGAAGCAAAGGAGATAGCTGAGAGAGGGAGGTGAGAGAGAAAGAGAGAAGAACTGCAAGTTGACTGGCGGATGCGAACTGATGACTAACACTGACATTAATAACTATGGTGAAGAGGTGAGGCTGGTGGCTGACCGCCTTGTCTAACACTAGTCCTGATTGGAACTGGCACTATCATGGAGCAACAGCCTCGTCAGCTAGCTACCTATGGAGTACTTCATAATGATTATGACAAAGTTATAAGTGTCTTTTAAGGCTGTTATTCACAAACTAAGTAGACAATCAGACCAGCACTCAACCGGTCACGCTGTGTGTCAAGCCGGATATGCTGGTAAGTATGACTTGATATTTGTACATACAACATTCGGGGGAATTGCCCGTTGGGAATCACAAGAACAAACTCGCAAACCACGTTGGACAGGGTCATATAGAAGAAAATGAAATGAAACCAAATTTATGAAAAATCAATAAATAAAGAGACATCGAGGAGGATGAATGCACAGATGAATGTCCACCTCATGCCACTACTCCTTGGCAGGCAATCGTGTGTTCTTTGATCATCAGCGCCAGGTATTCGAGATTCGCGGATCAGCTAGCACATAGTGAATCAGACACCTGAGTGGGCGCTGCCTGATCAAAGAAAACTTTCATGGATTCCAAGGGAGATCGAGGCCAAGTAAAGGCGAAAAAGGGTTAGGAGGCAATCAAAGCAGGAAAACTGCACATGCAAATCAAGTAGATGCAGGATGGGCTGACTTGGCCCACAATCCTCCAGTCATGGGATGCACCTTGGAAATCCCTCTGTCGTATATCCATCAGCATTCGGAGGCTTGCTCAAACTAGCTGTCACTATATCAGTGGTACCGTGTCACTCCGTCAATCATTCTTTGGTCCTTATTTTACCAGTGATGGATTCCTTCCTTCTAAATCCCAAACATGACCTCGAGTAACATGAAAAACGAAGGGGCAGAAAAAGACAAAAGGCGTGGTCGAGGTTGCAGTGTATATATGACAAGGGGACACTGTCGGCGACGGGCACAAGACCTGGAGACGCTGCTATTGAGGAGCGGCTGGAATTGCCAGTACTTAAGTTTGAGTGAGCCATGCGAAAAGGATAAAAAAGCCGGCTACATTCAGCAGCAACCCACTCGGCACAGATACCACGCCAGAGGTAGAGTGTAGAAAGAAAAGTGCAGGAGATCAAAGAAAAAGCGGTCATCTCATACAAGTCAATCCTGTAAACATCACTTAATGAGCCGATCGACAAAGGGGTAATAATCAGAAATTCGTCCCAGCATAACAATATAAACAGACATCAGATCGCGAACTTTGCGAAAGGGGAAACGGTAAGGGTTGTGTTGGAGATGAGTAGTCACACATCGCTTGCTACGAGAAAAAAGTGGCGAAACGATCAAAGAAGTACACAGAAATTCGTCCCGAAATGGCGTCATCGGGGTCATCACTGACGGGGCGTAAGAGTCGTGCTCGTCAGGCTTAACCATCCTCATCGGTTGGTTCTGCAGATTCACGTTCGCTATCCTCAGCTGATCGAGTAGCTCCACCAGTCTTAGATTTCTTGGCTGAATTCGCGTTGTCGTCGTTAACTTCACTTGACTTCCGCTTTTGCGCGGATGAAGGGTTCTCTCCGGCAGGCTTTCCGGAGTCCACGTTTTCTTGGCCCGAGCCCGCAGCGGTAGCCGCCTGTTTCTTTTCCATAGCGGCTACTTCGTCGGCCGTCAAGAATCTTCCACCGGGACCGCGCGGCCGTCGCATGGCGTGATTGTGACGCGACTCGTGTAAATAAGGTTTACGGCCCTTTGATGTGAGCCGCAACTGTTCCTCCAATTTCTGTCGGGCAACCCGACGTTTTAAGATGCGATGGAATTGCTTAGCGTTGACATACAAGGGAGACTCCTCGGCAGCGCCGGCGACAAGCTCCGGTGACGGTTGGCTTTGCTGAACAGGCTGAGGAGGCGGCGCCATCGGCGGGGGAACCGAAGACCGAGCAATATGATTGAGCACGGGTTGAGCAGTCTGGACATGTGGGCTCCCGGCATGACTCATACGACGCTGTTGCATCTGAGCATTTTGGGACATGGATAGTTGAGTGCCCATTGGGGGCATCTGTCCTGGAATCTGCGGCGGCGATCGTGGATTCCGGTCACCTTTTACTTGTACTCCGGCCATGCGAGGAGAACCACGGGGGCCTTGTGCCATCTGGCCAGCCATCGAGTCTTGGTGCAATGGGTAGAATTGCCCAGATGCGGCTGCTGTAGCCATTGCAGCCGCTTGCGTAGGAGAGATACCGTACGGCTGAGGCATAGCCGTTGGAACGCCATATGACTGAGGAAAGTTCATCTGCTGATGTACCGAGCCTGGGGCATTCTGAGCCTGCTGGTAGTGGGATTGCGATGGGACGATTGAAGAGCCTTGATGGGCAGGGTGAGGCTGCTGCATGTGTCCCTGTGGATTTGTGGGCGACGACATCGACCCAACAGTTGAGCCTGCGTTCTGTGGCGCTGTTTGGTAAGGGCCGGCCATGTGAGAGGGAGCGTGAGGGTGCTGGCCATGAGGCTGTTGATATTGTGGAGGGTATTCCATCGTGCTGGAGACGCGACGGGTAATTCCGTCACCTTGGTACCTTACGCGATGATTGGTTAGATTTTCTTATTAAGATGGGTTTTCTTAACCCAGTAACAGCTCGAGTAAGTATGTGATTGCTGCGCAGAGGTCAAGTAAGGTAGAAGCAGATGACTGGATGAGAGGTTGTTAGAGGGATGGGTCTTTTGAGGTTATCGCCGAGGGGCGCGAATAAGAAGAATCGAGTCTTAAAAAGCGACGAGCCCTTGCGACCGATGATTCGGCGAATTAAATGCCCAAATCTGCAGGCTTCTGTTTTCGCGTCAGTATGGAGCGCAGCGCTGAACGGTCACTGGATCACTAGTGAGGGGCTTATGGGGATAGAGAGGCGCTTGCACGGAGAAGCTTACCTTGACTTTTGTTTCGCGAATTGACTGACTTTGGAGCTATCAGCACAAAAGATAACAACCGTATGTTTGCCAAAATGACTCCAAGCAATGTTCTTCAGGATGTTTTGGGTTCTTTTGTGGATACTCTCTCTTAATACGTTGACCACAACTGTAACGTGGTTGGGCTCTGATGCAGCGGGACAGGGTGCCCTTGAGAAAGTGCGGTGCTCGATGCGTTGTCAGAGAGAACGCAATCTGGTTGATAACAATGCACGATTGCCTATTGCCGGCACGAGGCGAAGCCGCAAGCGGGAAAAATAAGAAAAACCAGAGTAAGAACGTCACTACGCAGTGAAATTGACCTCGTAAAAGCCAGGCTCCCCTGTTTAACCTGTTTCAGCTTCTAAAGGTGGCAGGTTGCTCGGCCACGTCTCTGCAAGACGAATAAGACGGGCAGGAAGAAACTTGAGGCGGTGCTGGTAGCGTAGCCTGCACTTCTGTCCAACGAATCCGAGTGGGAGAGAATTTGTCCTGCTCCACGGTCTCGGATGATAATGCCACTTCTGCGCGACTTAGGGGGATCGATATTAGAATAGGCCTGAGTGGCCTTGTACACAGACTTCTCTACTATAGATCATCAGCAATGTACTTTCCCGCCAACCACATGCGAAATATGTGTTGTCAGAAAGTAAAACGGGGTTTGTCAAAAAAAATGGTGGGGGTTCAGTCGTGGCAATTTAGACAGTTCACGGCTGAAGGATGTATGCGCTGGCAAGCGGGAGTTATGATGCAACCAACGTACCTTATTTAAATGCGACGCATACGAATTCCAGTTTAGTCCCGGTCTTCTGGTCCGCGCGGATGGCAACAGGGACCACAAGAGACTATAATTTGGGCGAGCAAGGAGGTATGCTGCACGTCTGAAGCTAGCATGAAGCGTTAGAAAACGGCCATAGAGTCACACTTGAGATATGATTGACGCGTGCTGATTGGGGCGCATTGCGGTTTGGGGAAAGGTGTGGGCAGAACGCGACGTTGACAGGTATAACAGTGCATGGATAGTCAATATATCGCAGAACGGCATCAGAAGACCGGGAGGTAGAGCATTTCTGCAATGCTTCGAATACATGCGACAATCAAGTCGTGTACAGAAGTGGGTAACATCAACAAGACGAGGGAATGATCGCGCGTGGTCTGCGGCCCGCGAAGCGAAGCAACAACAACAACACGT